AGGGTGGCCACTAACTCCTCTCCTTTGTTCAGCTCAGCCCCACTGGCCCCCGGGACCCAGCTCCTGCCCCACATCCCCCCTACCTCCTGCCCCAAGCAGCCCCTTCCCACCACCCAGCACACTCCCCACAGGATTTAGGATGGGGAAAGGGCCACGTGGGAACGGAGTCCACCACATTGAGTGTGCCCACCCAGGCAGCCCCTGCCCACCCTCACAGTCCTGGCTGAGCACAGAAACATTTATTGGCAGCATTTTGAAAAAATAGATGTATATTAGGCATTGATTTCCAACAGGTTCTCATCACAATCAGTAGTAGCCGTGGGAACAGCAGCAAAACTGAGTTCAAGTATTGGAATTGTCTTACAGCCCCCACAGATGCAGCAGCACTGGCTGGGACGTGGTATCTGGGAATTTCTGGGGGTTTATTTCTTCCTTTTGAGCTCATTTTTTGGATGAAGTGATGCCAAGGGCTGGAAAAAAACCTTTTGTGCCCTTGTTCCCCCAGCCTGCACGGCGTCCCCTGCTCTTATTGCACCAGCAGTGCATGGGCTGGGCAGGGAAAATTGAAAAAGGTATATTTAAAAATGAAAAAAAGAGATTAAAACCCTTTTTTTTTGCCTTTATAATTCAATGCCCCCAGCCTGGGGCACTTGGCTGCTGAATTTGAAATGGGGGACACAGGGTGCAGCAGTGCAGGGGGGGCCGAGTCAGCTGCGAGAAGGGCAGTGACCAGCCCTGTGCTACCCTGTAAAACCACCCAAAAGCAGCCCAAAAATCACCCTGAGGGACAGGCAAAGAGCAGAAAACCACCAAGAGCTGCTAAGCCAGGCTGGGGGTGGTGGTGCAGCACCCCCAGCTCCAAAAACACACGTGAGGAGCAACAGATGCTCTCCTGCCAGCCTGAGCCGAGCCAGCCGCCGTGCCCAGGCTCCCTGAGCTGCTCCCTGAGCTTCCCCCTGGCTCAGCTGAGACCTGCAGCCTCCCCCCAGAGGCAATCCCACACGCTGCCACCCCTGCAAAGCTGCAGAGGCTTTCCAAAATTTCAGCAGGCAACCAAAAGTTTAAAAAAACAAAAGAAGAATGAATGGCTGTGGAGGGGTTCCCCCCCTCCCCCAGCATCTCATCTGTGGACGGGGCAGCACCAGGCTCAGCCCGCTGGTGCCCACGAGCTGTGGGTCAGAGGAGCAGGATCTGCTTGGAGGACGTGAAGGGCTTCATGGCCACCTCCAGTGCTGCCCTGTAGTCCTGCAGTGGGACCTCTGTGTAGGCTGGTGCAGTGAGCTGTCCCCTGCGGATCAGCTGGAACAAGGTGTCCATCATGGTGGCCACGCTCTCCGGGTCTGCAAGGGGAGCAGGGAGCTCTCACCATCCCACATCTCACACCAGAACCATCGACCAGCCCCGAGCAGACCCCCAGAGAAGGTCCCAGGGATGCCAGGGTGTGACGTGCACCCAGCTCAGGCAGGTGGGATGGGGCAAGAGCCTCCAGCATGGTGGCACGTCACGGTCCCTGCCCGAGCCACACTGCCCAGTGCCTTTCAGCACCCTGAGGGCCACCAGCACTCCTGCCCCAAGGAAGGACAAAGAGGGTGGCACCAGCATGAAGGTCTGGCACCCGTTCTGTGCCAACCTGCCACGCCAGTGCCACCAGCTCACCCTGGGCATGGTCCTTCCTCCACTGAGTCACCCAGAAGCCGCGGAGCCGCAGGTCCCGGAAGATGAAGGCGCTCTGTGGAGAGAGGACCCAGCACCCAGCTGAGGCCTGGCTGTGCCCTCCCACTGTGACAGCAGGGAGGGTGGCACTGAGCTCCTCACCCCCTCCCCAGGGCTCTCATCTGTGAGCCAGGGCACTGAGCCATGGGGAGATGTGGCTCCGAGGCTGGACTCAGGGTGGGGTTGATGCTCCTCCCCACTGGGATTTCACAGCAGCCCAAATCCCCCCAGAATGAAGGCAGGAGACCTGCACTGTGGTGTGAAGCAGTTTGTCCCATAATGGACCCCACCAGTTAAATAAAAGGGTTGGAGGCTCCCAGTTTGCAGGCAGGGCAGAGCTGAGCTCCTGTGGTGCTGAGTGGGAGCCAAGGGCACAGGGACATCTGCAGTGGAGCACATGGGATGTGCCCTGAGGGAAACCAGGAGCGTCTCCAGTACTCACCACAGGCACCATCACAGGCTGCTTTGCCATCCCCCCATAGGTGACCATGGTCCCCTTGGGCCTGGGAGAGGAAGAAGTGGTCCCTCAGGTGGTCCCCAATGTGCAGCTCTGGCCTTGCAACCCCTCCCTGTGCTGTCCCCAACCCCAGCACCGTGCCAATGGGGCCGGACTCACACCAAGGGCTCCCCCAGTTACCCCCCAGACCCCACTTCCCAGAGCTCCCCTCTTGCTCCCATCCTGAATCTGCAGCTCAGCACACCACTTGTACCTGGCCAGGCCCTGGTGGACCTTCATAACTGGGCCTCAGCTGCCTCCAGCCCCTGGCAGCATTTGAGACACACGGGGATGACGAGTCAACTTGAAGACACTGCTGTTTCCTAAAACTACTCCCCCTCCACTCATCCCCTCTCTCCACGTTCCTGGTGACCAACAGCAGCTCCCAACAGCTCTGGCACTGCGGGGGCTCTGCAGCAGGACCCCTGCCCGAGCCACCCCCAGCCCCACTCACTGCAGGTGCCTCAGCATCTCCGTGGTGCTCTTGCCTCCGACGCAGTTCAGGGCGAGCCGAGGCTTCGGGATGCTCTGCAAGAGTTTGTTAAGAAGATTCCCAAATTTAGAGCTCCTTTTGAGGATGGCACCATAGATCTTGAGGGAGCTTTAACCTCAACATTTACCCACGGGAAGTTATAGAGCTAAAAATCTATGATCTGTCTCTTGCAGTAGCAGCAAAGCCCCTCAACTGCTGGGGCTAAATCCTGATCCAGAGAGATTTGTGCTTCCCACCACCCCTGCACCCCTCCCTACAGCAGTGGACTGCAGGGACAGCTCTGGACAGGCTCTCCAGTGGGGTTGGGTGTCTCAAATATATCCTGAGGTATCAAAGATTGAGGTACCTTAAATATATCCTGAGGTATCTAAGATTGAGGTACCTTAAAGATCTCTTTCATCTCTGGCTTTCTCAGCATCTCCTCTGTGATGACGTGGTCTGCACCCAGAGCCATCAGCCTCTCCACCAGCTTTGGGAGATCAGGCCTGGGGGAGGTAAAAACCAAAAAAGGCCTCAATTGAACCAGAAAGTAGAACATCACCTTATCCTCTCTCCTGTTCAGAAGTAGCTTGGGGACAACAAGCAGAGCAGAGGCTGGAGAAGCAAACAGGAGAAAAATCTGGCTTGGATGGGCAGGACGATCCCTCCAACTCCCAGACCCGGAAGACATTCTGCCAACCTCCACCCCAAGCCGTGGGCAGCTCCTACCTGCCAGGAGCCCTTCCCATCTCCCCAGGGACCCACCTGTCCCTCACCACGTTGATGGTCTTGACGCCGGAGGCCCTGGCGATCTGGATGACGGCCTGGCCCACGCCGCTGTTGGCAGCGTTCTGGATGACAGAGTCACCTGCAGAAGACACCCGCATTGTCACCGCAGGGGGGGTGGGGAAACGCCCCCAGATGGTGGGGGGTGTCCCCCTCCCCTCCCCGGGGCCCTACCCGGCGCCAGGGTCTCGAAGTCGGCCAGCAGGCGGAGCGCCGTGCAGGGGTTGACGCTGAGGGTGGCGGCGCAGGGCAGCGGGATGTCCGCGGGCACCTTCAGCAGCGCCTGCTCGGGGAACACGCCCTCTGTCCTCCACGTCCCTGGCACCCGGCAGCAGCGTGGGCAGGAGCCGTGCAAGGGGGGGGGTTAGGGGGAAGAGGCCTTCAAGATCATGGAGTTCAACTGTTCCCCCAGCCCTGCCAGGTCCCCACTGCCCCGTGTCCCTCACCCCACATCTCCACGGCTTGGAAACCCCTCCAGGGGTGGGGACTCCACCACTGCCCTGGGCAGCCTGGCACAGCCCTGGGAAACCCTCCAGGGGAAAAAATTGTTCCTCAGGGACAACCTCAACCTCCCCTGGGGCAACTTGAGGCCATTTCCTCTTGTCCTGTCCCTTGTTCCTTGGGAGCAGAGCCCGACCCCCCCCTGGCTCCAGGCTCCTGTCAGGAGCTGTGCAGAGCCAGAAGGTCTCCCCTGAGCCTCCTTTGCTCCAGGCTCAGCACCCCCAGCTCCCTCAGCTGCTCCTCCCCACACTTGGGCTCCAGACCCTTCCCCAGCAGCTCCGTTGCCCTTCTCTGGCCACGCTCCAGCCCTCAAGGTCCTTCCTGGAGTGAGGGGCCCAAGAACCCAGGGTTTGAGGAGTGCCCTCCCCAGTGCTGAGGGCAGGGGGACAATCCCTGCCCTGCCCCTGCTGGTGAAGGAAGATGGGTGAGGAGAGGAAAACGTTACAGGACCTCAGCTCACACCACAGCCCTAGCACTGGCAGCAGCAGCATCACCACTCCGTGCACTGTGCAAAGAAATCCTGGAGAGTGAATCCTGAAGCACTTTCCCACAGGGGTATGGCCAAAACACTGTGAGAGGCCAGGGATGGATCCCAGCTGCCTGCCAGGATTTATCACCCAGCAAAGTCCAATCATTTCCCAGAGGGATAATGGGACTGAGGCTCCCTGGGCACAGGGAGTGTGCAGAGGTAATGGAAATACTTCCCATCCTATGGATGAGCCCATATATTCTAAACCAATTTACTTAGATATAGTCCTTCTATCTTTATACCCAATTTAACCCCCTATCATCCATTTTCTTTTTTTCTCATGTTTAAAAATATCACATTTGGATCTTAACTAGATAGCTTTCCTTCTCCCATTAAGCAAAAAAGCCTTTTAAGCAGAAACAGGCACAGAACAAGCTGTTACACTACACCAGAACCAACCATTTTTCTGGCCATTGGCATTTTAGAGGAGCACAGGAGACATTTATTAGAAAATAAATTCCCTTGCTTTCCCATCAGAGCACTGTTAAGGAGAAAACTGTAATGAGATATAACCACGACCTTGCACAGGTTAAATACTTTATCCCAGATCTTTAAAGAAGCTCTAAGAAGAGATAGAATGGGGTTGTTTC